GACAGACAGACAGACAGACAGACAGACAGACAGACAGACAGACAGACAGACAGACTGACAGACACACACAGACAGAGCGAGAGAAAGAGAGAGAGAGAGAGAGAGAGAGAGAGACAGAGTGAGAGAGAGTGAGAGAGAGAGACAGAGAGAGACAGAGAGAGAGAGAGACAATATATATATGAGAAAGGGGGAGTGAGTGGGGAAAGTGGGGGTTCCCTGCTCCAGTCTGTGTTTTGTTCTTGCATTTATTAGTTGGGTTTTTTTTGTAGCGGTAAAGAGAAGCCCATGGACACAATGACGGTCATTCAGTTCGGGGGGGATAGAATTTTGACATAAATCAAGTTCTCAACCACGATACGAAGGAAGGGATTACACAACTCCTCCTTTGGGGGGGGGGGGAGCAGACAAAGACAACAAAGCAAGAGGGGAGGGGGATAGAACCCACCAGTGCCGCCCTCCAACTGCTCGTTTGAGGAGATGCTGGAAAACGAGTCAGCATGAGGCAGTGCTTTTATGCCTGTGAAAGCTTGTACATGTCGCAAGACAGATATATGCTCGACAAAAATTACCATCCTCGTGTGGGAAAACAGAAGTCATGTATTTTGCGTGAAACGGCGTAAAACTAATCTCTATACGGTGAGCGAATGAATAGACCAGTCCAATAAAGGCACTTTCTTTTTCTTCTTTTAATAAAAAAAACTGGGGGTGGGGGGTGGGGGGTGGACGGAGTACCGCAACATTTGGCACTGTGGTTTTAAGCATAATATTAATGTGTATTGTGAGCTTTTTGCTGGGTTAGTTTTAGTAAGAGTTTTACGGCACTGCAACACAATAAGGTCATATAAGTGCCGAAGATTAGAGGTGTTACCAGAGAGTAACAAACGCAAAAAAAGAAGGAGGAGAGACGAGGATGATAGATGTTTGATAGGAAAGAAAGAGCAAACCACACCAGAGCACCCACCAACCACCCACAGCTGAGTTAACAGCGAGTGCTACAGCAACCACGGATAACGTCAGGAATTTTTGTTTAGTTTTAGTAACAAACAAACAACAAAAAAAGGATCACGACGACAGATGTTTGATAAGAAAAAAAAGGAGCAAACCACACCAGAGTACCCTCCAACTACCCGCTAATAATACTGTGAGCTATAGCTGGGTTTAAAACAGCGATATCATAAATAACTATATCAACGACGAAACGCATCGCCTGGAGTAGATGAAGACAAAAAAGCAAAAGAGGAGCTGAAAAGTAGGAAACCGCGGCTGTTTTAGTAACAGTTTTACGGCACTTACCATATTGGTCACATACAATATAATATTATGTAAGAGCCAAAGATTAAATGTATACAAACAAAAGAAAGAGGAGAGATAAATAATAATATGGAGGATCGATGGTTGAAATGAAAGAAGGAGCATCCACCAACCACCGACAGACAACAGAGTAGCGATCACCAAACACCAGCTTTGGTTTTATATTTTTTTAATATAAAAAAAAAATTAAAAACAGGAAGGGGCACACAGTCACCACAGTCAGAACAACGATGAATAATTATGACGAGGACAAAGACGTTTATTTGTTTGGATCAACAACGGTCATCAAGTACTCGAAGGGAGCGAGACGCAGAAACAACAGAGGGGAGGAAAAGGAAAAGGACCCACAGGCTATGACCATTCCACCCTCTTAACAAACGAAAAACAAAAACAACAACAACGAAAAAACACCAACTACCCACGAGAGTGGGAATGTTTGGGGAAATTCTCGAAGAGAAAACCAGGGAAAGAGGAAAAAGCGAGTGTATGTTGTGTAATGGGCGTGGTGTGCGCGCGCGTGTGCGAGTGTGTGTGGTGTGTGTGTGTGTGTGTGTGTGTGTGTGTGTGTGTGTGTGTGTGTGTGTGTGTGTGTGTGAATGTGTGTGTGTGAATGTGTGTGTGAGTGTGTGTAAAAGAAGGGAGCCAGGGGGCTCAAAGAAACATGTCTACAACATTTAATCTTCACAGCGTCCTGCATTCAAAAGACGCGAGCTCCGAGCCGGAAAAACTTTTATGATTGTCCTCTTGGGGCCTCGAGTGTTTACCCCTGTGCTCGAAACACGGGTCAGCGGCGAGGTGAACTGACCTGAACACTTATAAATAATGACCGGCTGCTTGAACACTGAACAGAGAGCTTCATGAACTGTGGTGCTGTGCTTCTTCGACAACGCTCAGCAGAGGCAAGGCGGGGGAAGGGGTTCTCGTTTTAGTACATGATAGTTACATAATCAGTTTTCTTTGTCTTGTATTTGTGCGCGTGAGGGGGGGGGGGAGTCTTTTTCTTTTTTGTTAGTATGGTGATCTAGACATGGATATTTAATTCGGGAGGGGGGTGTCTACTTCTGTTGGTGGTTTTAACTTTTAACAGAACATAAAATTGGTTTGTTATCATTCTTTTCTCAGGCAATGGACGACATAATCATACAGAGCAGCAAGAACACGACTTTCGAATTCTAGTGTATCATGAGCATTCATGCGAAAAGTAAAAAAAAAATAATAAAAGAAGAGAAAGAAAAACCTGATACAAAAACTAAAACAAAAATCAACTAGCCAAAGCGAAGAAACACTTGGTTTGGAACAGAAAAAATGGGAGGACACAACATCGGAATGTAACGGTCTGAAACACGAAAGACAGAGGCAGTATGACAGCTGAAATGGAAGCACACAAAAGATATTATTAAAGGAAGAGATTCCATCCGAGTTCCCAGTGCACAACAAATACGGGACGGGAAGACAGCACAAACACCAGCACACAGCAACAAAGGCCCAAAAGAAGAGTAAGAGAAAGAACAGGGAGATGGAAATGACTGACATAATATTTCAAACTAAAAAAGCTAAAAACGTTTCGCTCCATACCATCAAGCTAGGGGGTCGGCTGTCCTTGATCATTTTGTGAGAGTGAGTTTAAAAAGAAAAAAAAATCAGCCTTTCTCAAGCATCTAGTTTTTGCACGTTCATCACAATTTTTTGTTGTTGTTGCAGGATCAAGGCATTTGAACCCCCCCCCCCCCCCCCCCAAAGGCAAGTAATTTTCATCTAATAAACTCAATTTGCAAAGGTTACAAAACTTAATATCCATGAAAACAATAGTTTTACAGTATTCATTACACCAATAGGGTTTTTTTTTTTTTCTATTAAAAAAAAAAAAAAAGAAATTTACATGCTTATACTCTAGAGAGATATATATATATAGATATATACATATATATCTATATATATATTAAGAGCAAAAAACACATGTAGTTATCTTGTGGGGTTTTTTTTTATCAACTTACCACAGCACAACACTGTCACAAGAACACAGCAGCCACTGAATTTCATAATATCCATAACTTGGGAAGGGGGGAAATATTTCACAATATGTCACAACACACACACATCCACCTGCAGAGGAAAAAAAAAAGAAAATCAGGTACTGTGCAACATGAGGTACCTCCTTTAGAATATAGATACAAAAACTGACTTTTAACAGATTAAACACTACAAAAGTTTAAAACATTTTATAACTTCAGACATTTTTTAACACATTTCTCAAACGAAAACATTAAATAAGACAAACCGTTATCAAACAGTGGTAAGTCTTCTGAAAATAGCAGCACGATACAAATAATTTTTAATATACCATATGTGTCAATGACATATTTAAATTTTGAATTTCTGCTCCATTCTTTAAACATCACACCATTTACTCTCCAAACATAAAAATTGCACATTAACACACACAAAAATCAAATATATATTACTTCACATTCATTGGGTAACAGGGGGGGGAGGGAATATAGTAGCATTAACTCTATAAAAAGGTGTGTGGGTCCACCTAATTTTGTGTGTGAGTTCAGGTTACACGATGGAATGAATTATTTCTACTATAGAGTTACATTTCCTCAAGCAAAAACCAAACATGTACTATAAGTATTTATATAACCTATATCTGGCACACAGGCAGAACTCTTAATAGGGAATGACACTGAAATTTTGGGGTTTACGGTCAAAGATCATAAGGGTGGGGGTAAAACCAGAACAGCCCTAACCAGAACTTCAAACTAATCCATCTATTATGAATAATTTATCTATCCTTTCCAAGATGCAATTCTTTTTAAAAATTGCTAGTATATCATGCTGATGAGAAATCATTGTTCAGTTGTGTAACCACTTCATGCGGAAACACACGTTCCTCTTTTTGAGTGCTTGTGAGCATGGGAATAAGGTGCATGCTTTTGTAAGAATGTGAAAATGTGCGTGCATCATGGATATTTGAGAAGGTAGCATTTCAAAATGGTTCTGGTGTACCAACATAAAGATTTGTTGACATGACCTGTAAACTTGAGGTAACATCTCTGTAATTTGTAGGCGAGGACCTACCGCCAACTAGGCAGATTTATAACATTTGTTGGTCCCCAAATTCTTTTCTTATCGGCGATCACGGTTCTGCATTCGTTCTTTTTCTCGTATGGTCTGAAAAAAGCTACATTATTTTGATAGCTCCCAGACATCCAACTGTTTAGGATCAGCAACAAAAAAGCTAGTTAACCAAAAAACAAAACAACAGCAAAAACCCCTTCTCACACCCCTCGACCCTCCTTTTTCAAAAGAAAACAAAAACCCTTTTTAATTTGCCTTACGGCAGTTCTAAGCCTGAGTTCAGGCCGGTTTCGGACCTAGAAAGGGAATGGTTCGCTTTCTTCATTTCAATAAGTCCTGCCTAAGATGATCATCTGTGTTATACCGCCACTTTTCTCCTTGACAATGGATGGCCGTTTTACAGAACTGTCCTGTAAACCAAAAAATTATTTTGCTACTATTTGTATTTATGACCCCAGTCAAAATTTTCTGAGACAGCCACTCCTAAGACAGTCTAAAAAAATGAGCGGAAGGAGGAAGTGGTTGTTTGAACAGGCGATTGTTTTAGACAGGTGACCATTTGAGGAGGTTTGAATATATATATAATATATATATTCTCGTAATCTTTAACAGTCTTGAATCTAATCTTGGAACCTTCTAATAAATAACAATAAAAATAGTTCACCCATCGATGTCTGAAGATGTTCAATACTTTTCCAGAGGAACATTTTTTTTAAAGGAAAGTGAAAGAATACTAGTAATACAATGACTTCTTGTGGGTTCTGATTTGGCACCCTGTGCTGACTCAGAAAACTGATACACTACAGACGTCAGTGAATAAGCACTTGCAGACGATAACTTTATAACTTTAAAAGAAGATAACCCAAAGAAAATTAGATGTGTAGCTACATGCCAAGAAATATAAAGGAACAAATGCTGGAGTGGAGGGTTGTAATCTTTCCAATACAAATACCCAGAAAACACACAAGTAACCAAATAAAAGTAAGTGTCTGGTACCTCCTCTAACCTTACTGTTCTAAGACTACTTACAATCACATTTCAACAAATGTTAAAATGTCAGTTTGACAGTTCTAAAAAACAAAAGAAAGCTTTGCGTGCAATAAGGCATGAGCCTTCAACGCAGGAAAATTATTAATTTCATATTGGAAATAGTTTCGAAGAACAAGCAAAAACCTGGTTCCGAAAAATAGTTTCGAAAAACAAGCAAAAACCTGCAGCGTATGAAAGGAAACAGTCTAAGTCACTTGTATTGGACGCTCCCTGCATCAGATGCGGAACAGCATCATTACCACCAGACACTCTGGCCATCCAGTAGGGTTTATACAGTTAAAAGCATTAAATTTATTATTTCATTAAATTAATCATTAATATCCATTTGTTTGTAATCTGGCTAGGGTACACTCCCACAAGAGCTTCTACTCAGGCCTGTTTATCTTTCTGAAACTTTCTAGGCCTCGAAACTAGATCAATGATTTATAATGTCTGTCGGTCTTGTTCTAGACCTAGGCCATAGATCTAAGAACCTAGGTCTACCCTGAGCCAAGAGGGCGCTGAAACTTGTACCCTTTATAAACTGAAATTTCTGTCAGGGTGGTTGGGATGGCAAAATGATACCAACCGCTTTGAATTCTAAAAGCTCAGTTCAATCAATATCAAAGGAAGTTACCATCCCTATCCCATCATATACCATAGTGTACCCCTTTATTTTTCATACCACAATCTTCTGAGGTAGTAGAGAATGAAAATGGTTTCAATATCAACTCTTCTCATTTCTTAAATGAATTGGCAGGGTTAAATCAATGGTAATTTTTAAAAAGAAGCCATCAAAATTATATATATATATATGTTAAAATTTCTGATTGACAAGAACTCACACGTGTGATAACCGTACGTAGCTGACGTAAGAATAATTTTAAGAGAAATATAAAATGGGAGTGTATACAGACCTGGTAACCGAGAACAAAGTCACGAAGTATGCAGACCTGGTAGGGGAAATCTTTTGCGATTTCGGAAAATTTCAGCGCCCTCTTGGCTCAGGGTAGACCTAGGTTCTTAGATCTATGGCCTAGGTCTAGAACAAGACCGACAGACATTATAAATCATTGATCTAGTTTCGAGGCCTAGATCAAAATGAAGAGTGCGGATGCCTTTTCGCCAAACGGTCATTTTTTCCTCCGTTTTGGAGTTGGGGGGAATCATAATTTGAAGAAAAGAACAATGTCATAATTTCAATCGAGCAGTCACCTTCTCTATTTCTCTGTCTCTCTCCCTCTCTCCCCTCTTTTTCTGCCTGCCTGCCTGCCTGCCTACCTCTGTCTCTCTTTCTGTCTCTCTTTCTCTCTTCTCCCCTCTGTGTATCCTCTCTCTTCTCCCCTCTGTGTATCGCTCGCCTTCTCTTTCTCCTTGTTTGTCTCTGTCTTTCTTTCTTCCCACCTAGATCTATTTTCGGCAGGTCGATGTTTCGCTGCAATTACGTCACAGCGTATACCTATGGATAATAAGAATGATCGTTTCACCGCAGATTGAATTCGATTACAACTTTATTTAACTTAGTACGTTGCGAGTATGCCCCTGCTCACCAACTAGGACGTAGAAGTAGGACTTTGAGCGGGACGGGTTTATATAATGAATGTGTTTCATGTCTTTGTCTGTCGTGCATCTCGCCTTGCATGTTTCAGTTGCACATTTCCACCTTTTGCTGTTTTGCTGATTCTTGTCCCAACGAAACGTGAATCCTGAAACCGTAACAGCTTGGTGTCCCCTTTTCATAACGCACATACAAGTAGTTAGTTCTTCCTCCATGCCGACCAAGAGTGATTCTACTTGCCAAAAATAGGAGAATTTATAGTGGTTTCAACACAGCAACACACTACACACTTACTAAAACTTTTGTTCAAACTGGACGGCCATTCTTCATGTGAAAGAGTGGGAATGAGCAAGAACGAGACTGGTACACAATAAAGAGAGAAGGGGAGAGATTGAGTCGTAACAACAGTTCACCCCTCTCGAGTTCTCATTGACACGGTAGGCACGTTTACAAATTAATTTGGTTTCAGAGGCATTCACAAAATAATCGATCTTTTATCTTCTGTGTAAATAACGTATTCCGACATGATTTGCAGTCCTCGAATCATTCGTGGGGAACGCTGACCAAGATGGCCCAAAACAGACAGAGCTGGAGATCCTTTGTTGCTGCCCTAAACACCAGATGGCGTAATGGGTAGTAAGTAAGTAAGTAAGTAATATGATGTGCGCCAAAACGATTTTCAGACTTCAACAGGTAGTCGTTGCGTCATTCGCGGTGAAACCTAACGCGACCCTATTTTCCACTCTCTATCTTTCTCTCGTTCCTTCCTGTGAATTGGGGTATGTGATATACATTTTGCTAGCTCTTCCCCCTGTTCTCTCTATCTCTCTCCCTCTCTTTCTCTCTCTCAAACACACACACACACACACACACACTAACTACCGGGTCTGAGCGCTGAAACTTTCTGAAATCACAAAAGATTTCCCCTACCGGGTCTGTATACTTCGTGACTTTATTCCCAGTTACAGGGTCTGTATACACTTCGATATAAAATAGGCTTACAATACAATCATTTTGGTACGAAATCTTACCAAATAATATCCTTCACCCTCTATGCTCTTAAATTTGCCTCACACACTCACAAATTGTCCATTGAAACAATCCAAGGTCCAGTCTGATGTCATTGTCAATTTTTATAGGAAGTGCCTATTTGCAATGCCGCATTGCGATTAGCGCCAGTGCTAAATAAAACGCAGTGTGTTAAATATCAAGCTTAATCTATCTTTCGTTGCTGAAAGTTCTGATGGCCGAATGGACAGCGCGTCTGCGTTTGAAGTCAAACCATTACTTTATATTATGAGCGTAGGAGAACAATCCTCGTCCTGGAAGTTTTGTTTTTCTTTTCCTTCTTCCCGACTGACCAACAATTTTTCCCCATAATGATAAAATTTTATAACTCGTTGCTTTGTAGTTTTTTATATAGTGATGAAGCATGCACATTCTGGTTTTGTCACTAAGGGAAACTTCTACAAAGAAGGCCTCCTATACTTTTCCTTTCAACAATTTAGGCCTGGTTAAAGTTCAATATTTTTTTTTTTTTAGGCTCAGGAGAAGGAAAAAAAACCTTCCGGGACCATGACTCGATGCCACGCTTGGAAGCACTGAACATTAGAGAACGCAGACAGCTTGTTGTATACGTTCTCTAGGCCTAACGTTAGAGAATGTAGACACTACCCCTTGCTAATTAAAACGCCGAAGCCTAGATCAGGCGATGTCATGTCAAAATATAAAGTGCACGCAGAGATAATATTTTTAGGTATTGTATGACGACACTGCTGACAGGAAATAGTGCTTACCGAGTTGTACCGTCTTGTTATTTACATGTATCCAAGCGTCTTTTGACGTACTAGCTCAAAAAACTCAAACTCATGATTTTATGAGAGATGAACAAGACTACTTTTGCGCAACTAATTTGTGCAAACAATGTCAGAAGCAATTGTTGGATCTAGATCCTGGCTAGATCTACCCAATATTGATCGGAATAAGACAACATCATAAAAAAGGAGTCAAATCCTAGGAGGTAATCAAGCAACTGAGAAAAGCTTCCACAATTCAGGCAGAACTACAATATTTTTATGTAAACGGTGGCTACTAGTAGGCCTACTGGCATTTCAAATAGCATGATAGCTATTCAGAACGCTGCACTTCAAATAGCAGGGGAGCCATTCAGAATGCTGCGTTTTTATAGGCCAAAATTATATTCTAATTTAGTCTATAAAAAAGTAGTCAACAAAAGTAGATCTATATAGACTTCCCAAATTTCAGTCATTTTGAGAGGGAAAGTGGAAGAAAGAGTGGGTAGAGTAGAATAAGAAGGGTAAAGTAAGGCCAAGGATCAGTGTCAGAGGGGAATTGTGTGGGGAAGAAAAGGGGGAATTGTGAATTGTGTGGGAAGAACAAGTGGAATATTATGCTGCAAACCAACCAACCCTGACTTGACCACTCCTAAACAATCATTTTGACCCTAAAATTAAAATTCAAACATGACAAAACGAGCACTAATACCGTAAATCTCAAAACGCTATCAGTATTAAATTTCATTTTTAGTTCTTAACCGTCCATCAGCAGAGGGCAGTTCCACTACTGCCAGTGAGACAGTGCATTCTTCATCTGCATCGGCACTGGCATTGGCATTGGTATGGCCGGGGCCGGGGAAATTGGAGTTGGAGGAGAACAGTGGTTATTCATAAAGAAACCTCAACTGCTATTTGGTACAACTAGATGATCTATATGATCAAATCATTAACTGATATCAAAGAAGACAAAAATATGCATTAACTTACCTTAATAAATCTATTACATTGCTGAGCGATCTAAAGGAGTGTCAAACAATAAAGAGAGTTCATAATGAAATCGACTGGCAGCCATTTTTAACTGTTGGGTTAGTTCCGGTCACGTGACTTTTTTGTTTATTATGCCAGTACTTCCTGGAGTTGTCTGCTAGGCCCATCCAAGACAAGTCTTTCGAAAAAGGAAAATTGTCATCACTTGAGACTGGGGACATTTCTTTTTATTTATGCTCTCTCTCTCTCTCTCTCTCTCTCTCTCTCTCTCTCTCTCTCTCAATCTCTCTCTCTCTCTCTCTCTCTCTCTCTCTCTCTTTCTCTCTCTCTCTTTCTCATTATTCTCTCACATTCTGGCACACGCGCGTTTGCGTGTGTGTG